AAAATAATAAAATGAGAAAAGATAAGAAAATGGCTGAAAAAGAAAAATTTTGCCTTCTATACGTGTTCGTTTGGGTTTCGGGTTTGGGTTTTGACCCGCGTGTTTTTTAACTTCATTTGGCATTGTAGCGTTGTCTCCTAGTTTTAAATTTGTTCAATTTAGTCCAAATTTAATGATACAATATATTAATTTAAGCTTCATATTTAAATTTTTTTCAATTTAGTCCAAATTTAATGTTACAATTTGTTAATTTAAGCTTCATATTTAAAATTTGTTCCTTATATATTTTCCAATTCTTTCAATTAATATATATGTTTATATTAATAAATTAATATATAGGTTATATATACTAATGAACTATATAATTAATATAATATAATATAATATAATAATATAATATAATATAATATAATATAATATAATATAATATAATATAATATAATATATATATAATATAATATATAATATAATATAATATAATATATATATATAAATATAATATAATATAATATAATATAATATAATATAATATAATATAATATAATATAATATAATATAATATAATATAATATAATATAATATATATAATATAATATAATATATAATATAATATAATATAATATAATATATAATATATATATATAATAATATAATATATATAATATAATATAATATAATATAATATAATATAATATAATATAAATAATATAATATAATATAATATAAAAATAAACTATATAATATATAGTTTATATATACCATATAGTTTATATATACTATATAGTTTATACATACTAATAAACTATATAATACATAGTTTATATATATCATATACTTTATATATATAGTTTTTATACATAGTTCATATGTAAACTATATAATATATAAACTATATATGTAGTATATACTATATAAATAGTTTATTAATTAATGTATCCAATTATATAGTATTCATACATATAATATATACTTTGAATTTTATATAAAATATAAATATAATTATATTATATAGAATATAAATATCAACTATAGTATATAGTATATAAATATCAACTATAATATATAGTTTATATATAAACTATAGTTTATATAGTTTTTATATATAACTCATATGTAAATTATACTATATACTATATACTATATAATATATGTTATATATATATATAGTTCATATGTAAACTATATAGTATATATAGTTTATATATGTACTATACGCTATAAAAGTAGTTTATATAGTTTGTTAATAAACTATATATATAGTTTATATAATTTATACATATAGTTCATATGTAAACTATATAATATATATAGTTGACATATAGTATAAGTTAGTATATATTGTTTATATATAGTTTAAATACTATTATCTATAAACTATATAGTTTATATATATAATTCCATAAATTAACCCTAAACCCTAAACCATATATACTATATATATAAACTATATAGTTTATATTAATAAATTATATAATTTATACATAATATATATTATTTATAATTATACATAGTATATATTATTTATAATTATACATAATACATAATATAAATTGTATAGTTTATATATAATTCATATATAAACTATATAATTTATATTAATAAACTATGTAGTTTATATATAGTTCAATAGTTCATATATAAACTATATAGTTTATACATGGTATATATAGTTTATACATAATATATATAGTTCATATATATATATATAGTTTATACATAATATATAGTTCATATATATATATATATATATATATATATATATATATATATATATATATTATAGTTGTTTTAATTTTTTTCAACTTTTGAAATGAATGTAATTTAATCTATTTTACAGATTTATTTTACATTTTACAATCATTTCGATTTGATTCATTTGTGTTGTTTAATTTATTTAAATTTTTATTTTTTATTTTTATATTTTTTTTCAATTTAGCCCTTAAAATTATATTTGCATTTGAAATTGGCTCATACTTATTATTTATTTATATTTTTAAATTGGCCCATAACTTATTAAATGTGTATAATTTAGTACTTTTTTGTATTATTTTCAACCTTACATATTTCGATTTGATCCCTCATCAATGCGTGTTGTTTAATTTATTTAAATTTTTATTTGTAATTTCATATTTGTTCATTTATTTCTTAAATTTTTATTTTCCATAAAATTGATCCATGATTATTTATATTCTTATTAATTTACTCTAAATCATATACAATTACAAATTGCAATTCAACTTTGCGAAAGACGAAAATAATTATTCAAAAAATAAAAATTAATCCGATTTGAACTCAATCCGTATCTGATAGAGATCCGACCTGAATTTTATCTGTCAATGATGTGACCCGATCTGAACGAAATCCACCTGAAGTCCATCCGAACCTGAACTGACATCGATCGAAACTGAAAGTAAACTGCCCTGAACCCAAACTGTACCTGATGTCAAATTAACCTGAAACTGACCCGACCTGATTTGAACTGGACCCGATCTGATCCGAGTCGAAGCATCAAAAATTACCTGACTTGACTTGTATCCCTGTCTGACAGGATCCAATTGAAACCTGAACGATTACTGACTTTACATCCCTAACTGTACGTAAATGATTTTTTTATTAAACTATAATTTTATACATAAATAAATTTGTGCGGTAAAACTTGATATCATTGATAAACTTTAATTCAGTTATTTTTTAATAACAGTAATTTTCTATTTTAAAAGTTATTTTTTTAGTTTATGAGCAAGTTTTATATGAATTTTAAAAAGTGATTTTTAAAAATATAATTTAAAATTTAACTATTTACGATTGTTGTTAAAAGACGAGTTTAAAAAGATAAAATGTCCATTGTAGATATTATGTTATAAATTAAAAATATATAATTTAAATTATGTTTACAATTATTAATACTATGATATATAAAATATATCAATTTAAATTATAATAAAAATATAAAAAAATATATTTTAAGATAACTCATTAATAATATTTTTATAAATAAAATATTGTTTTTAAAAAAAATATATTATCAATACTTTTTAACATGTGGTTATAAAATTATTATGAAATAATGATTTAAATACTTGTCTTTAAAAAAACATTAATGCTTGAAAAGCTATGGTATCTCTCATTAATTCCATTTCATAACTATATGAAGCGTCTAATTATTCCACTTCAACCACAATCACTCATTTAAAATTTAAAATAACATAATTTAAATGATATATTTGTCATTTAACCATTTAGAATAAAATATATATTATAAATAAATTTAAAAAAGTATTATTATTATATAAAATATATTAATTTAAACTATACTAAAAATAAAATAAAATAAAATATAATTATATAAAATATATTTTATAATACTCACTATTAATATTTTATATATAACCCATGATTGTTTTTTACTTTCAAGTAACTAAAACAAATAATTAAGTAATAAATTATTTTTTAAGGACATTAGTATTAAATTATTAAAATAAAATGTAAATATATAATTGAGTAGATGTCATTCATTAGTAAGAGTAAAATTATAATTTTCTTCTAAACGCAAAGTTGAAGCTAGAAATCCTAACTTTTGTTGTTGGTTCAAACCACTGTCCCCCCCCCCCCCCCATTTTTTACCCATTTGACATTGATTTTTCGGTCAAAACGGGCTTTTTAGTTGAAAGTGCTTCTTGAAAGTCACACCAAACAGGAATTAATTGTATAAATATAATATTTTGACTTTTAATTAATATAAAAATATTTTCATTTTAAATATTAAATAATAAATTATTTTTTATTCCATTTTCATAAAAATATAAAAATATTTTAATATAATTATTTAACAATTTTTAGTAATATACGGTGATTATACGGTAATATTTATTCAAAATCTTTTTTAATCATTGATATTACAATTACTCAAATTTAAAAATTTCTAAAGAGGCTACACTTCCTTTGACCACATATCTTTTGATGGATTCTAAATGTTAAAATCTTATTAAAATAAATAAAATTTTAAGTAATTTACTAACTTATTTTAATCTAACTATTTATATTGGATTTAAATGATTTTATGCATTATATTTTTTTAAGAATATATAGTTACACTAACTTTGAATTAATATTTTCCATGTTATATATTAAATTTTAATTGTTTTCTATAGTAATTATAATTATGGGTAAATTACATATTTAGTCATTCATTTGTTGTCATGGTTTTATTTTGGTCATCAAATTATCATTTTCAAAATAATGCATATCATTATGTTTTTGTTTCGTTTTGGCTACCCACCATTAAAAAATAAACAAAATTATTAATGTGATAATTTTTTTATTTTTTAATAATGATATGACATTATCTTACTATGATACATTTGTATCACCACTTAATTATTAGCGACGAGCGATCAAAACATAAACAGAATATAATACTAGAATATAATACTAGATATGATTTTGAAAAAAAATAGTTGAATGATCAAAACGAAACATAAGAATAAATATGTGACCAAATACATAATTTACCCTATAATAAATTTATAATTAAAATTCACCTAGCACAAGATCGAGCAATGATCTTTGAATTTCTATCAAAGATTATTTAAGATGAGCTGTCCCCAACTTTACCCTGACCAGTATTTTAAAATTTTGAATTTGGTCCGATCACTTGATAAATGACTAGCTAGAAAATGAGGGCCTTCACGAGTACTGATATGACAAATGAAATAAAATAATACACTAGAAATTGATTTAAAAAACAGAAGAGTCCTGTGATTTGGACCAACACCATCAATCTTTGTAAGCTTCCACACAGAGTCCATAGTTGGATATTCTTCGTTACAATTTACAGTAAGAAAGTTCATCGTATAGAACAGTCAATCAAATTTGACTCTTTAAGCAGGCAAATACAAAGGACAAACTCTGTTTTCTTTTGAAGTTCTTTTTCCTGTATAGAGAAACTCAAACAGAAAAGTTTGGAAGCGATAAGCCAACAAGGTAAGGCTAGGAATTAATTACCGCTTGTTTTTTTGGAGCTTTAAGACAGAAGAGTTTTCAATGTGTTGAACTTGTTCAAGAATCTTTTCAAACTTACAAGCAGCCAAGGTTGCTGGCGTAGCCGGTGTTATCGCCATAAGCATGGGAGCTGACACCGTTGAAGGAGTTTTTGGCATTGGGATAGGCATCGTTTTAGGGGTTCCCTTTTCATCTTCATTCAAAGTTGTCTTTGAAGCCTTAGCCATCGGTGCCTTACAACCAGGACTAAATATTTGTTCCTTCTCCACTTTTTTCTGATCTTCAATGGGATTCACACCGTTAGCATTGTTGTTCACCGCAAAACAAACAGAAGAAAGAGGCTTTCGAACTGCCGGTGGTTCAATCACACGCATCTTTGCTGCACTTAGAGGATGCTTTTTTACTACACGACCAGGAACCTTCGAGTTTCTCCTTCCTACAACATCCACAAACCCACATTTTTTCCAATGTCAATGGTCTAAAATCCGATGACTGAAAAAAACGACTGCCTTAGAATATGGTTATAAGATTAAAATATACCTGAGTGAGTTGTACAGCCAGTGGATCTCTGGTGATTTGTCACGCTGTTTTCGTTCATATAATCAGCTTTCTTATTGGGGTGAAGATGGCTAACAGGTTTCTCAGTTTTTACTTGCTGAAGTATTGCTCCTCCAAAGGAGAGTTTCCTGTGACTGGCAACGGTTGTTGGAGTTCTAGAAGCCTTTTTGCCGGTCATGGACGGACTGGGTTTTGAACCATAGAGTGCTTCTTGCTCTGTCATCAGCTGCCCGGGAAGTTTCTTTTGGTTCTTTTAAACAATTCAAACACAGCTTAAAATTAGAAACTTGTATCAAACTGAGGCTTCAAAGAAATAAATCAAATAGGAGGGCATACTCTGTGTCTCTGCTTCTGCATTTCTTTTTCTTGCCTTAGGCTGCTGTAGTCCTCGAGCATAGTAAGAAGTCGTCCCTAGAAGCAATTAAAAACATCATACAGTTACATATAAGAAAAAAAAATCTACTAGAAAACAAGGAAATGGAAATGGTAAATGGTAATTCAACTTTGAAACCAAATCTTAATAGAAATTAGGAAAATGCTTACTCCATCATAGAAGAACTCAGCCCCTTTCTCTTTCTCCCAAGCTGTAGTTTTTGAAGTCAAAGCCTCCACCATTGCTACACCGTAAGAATAGAAAATTATAGAACTGAAAAGACAAATACTCCTGGTTTGCATTACACTTATTGCCTAGTAAATTAGTTTGCTGGAGAAATTTACCTGGAATTTTGTTAACAGCGGTTCGAGCTTTCTCGGCCCGTTTCAGAATTAGGTGTGCTCCTCTTCCAGCATTATAACGGTTGTCATCCTAAAGTTTGTACAGTCAGAAATAGTTGTTGGAAACAAGAGTGCACATTATTCCATAAAAACAGGATGAGTTTGATTCCAACCCTATTGTACTCTTCCAACCAGCTCTCTTCTTCTCTAGCAGCCCACCACTTCTCCACCTTCTCGAGTATTTCTTTGCGGCTGACAGTTTCCTCTTTAACCTTAGCAATCTGAAGGTCAATTTGTTCCAACAAGTACAAAGGATCAATGGCACCTGCAAAACATATTCAGTTGGGTAACAAATAGAGTATTGGTGGATCATGGCCCTTCTGCATTCTCTTTAGCTTTAGCTCCTGCAGGCTTTGAATTTGAGCAGCCAACCTTGCAATTGTATTGTTACTTGCATCTTTTACTACATTCAAATCATCCAAGCCAGGGTGGATTCTGCAAACTGTTTGTTTGAAATCCATACCAAGAACTGTGCACAATGAGCTTATAGTATATAGGTGGCCTTGAACCTGATTCAAACGATTGATCTGCAAATGGCTTTAAAGTTATATCAGTAACAGCTATCATTTTGAAAGTACTGCTCAAATAAATCAGTAAAATCCTAAATTACACGCGAGTTGCCAATCAGTATAAGTACATTAATTCTATGCTTCAAAATATGGAGACGTGCTGCGAGTATTGTCGTCAAGCGATAACTAAACATAGAGACTAACCTTCTCATTTTGAAGTTCACGCAGCTCACTATGCAATTCTTCAAGTCTTCTTAGGGACAGATTGGTCTCATCAACAAACACCTTATTTCCATTTTGTTCTTTAACCCCCAAAATCTCATTTAATAGTTTTTGTATCTGCTCTACAGCACCAACAAATTGATTAATTCTTTCCACTTTCTTCCTACGCATATCCTCCAACAGTGGAATAAGGGTTTCGAGTTCTTCCATCATGTTCCCACCAGGCTTCAATTCATACTGGGTAAATATAACTAATTACATAAAAACGCTTTACAAAATCCAAAACAAGCCCATGTTAACAAATACAAATCAATTGATTATACACTAGTAACTGCAATTAAACGCACCGACTTCTCTCCCATAGAAGTAAAGATATATGAAAGTTCTGCCATGGCGGTGGTAATATCTCGTTGCAATTTAGTTCGACATTCTTTAGCCTCTTCTATTCTTTTCATGTAGACCTGGAGGCATTCTTGTTCAACTTCAAAAAGCGTTGTATCCCATTCATCATCAGCCTCTCCAACTTCACCCCGTATTTTCTGTAATAAATAAAACAATGGTAACTTTCTAAAACATTTCTGTCACGTTTGGTTACATTGTTTCGTAATAAGGAAAAACTTAATTATACACGAGTTTTAAAGTAGTTTCTAATTATATAAAAAAATATTAAATAATATAAATCTAAACTTAAAATTAGAAAGACGAGTAAAAAACTCAAGTAAATAATAATAACACATCTTCCTCTTTATTTAAACCAAGTCATGTAAGGGCCGGCCTAAAGATTATCAAATGAAGTTGGATTATAGCTAATTCATATACTAAGACATAAAGAAAAAATAACACACCAATTAGACTGCAAAGAATAGTAAATTACAAAATATGCTTTGAGAGATCTTAAGGAGGACCTGTAATTCACACAATAAAGAGCCGCAAGATTTTTCAATGCGCGCGAAGTGTTCACTATAATGATTTGACATGGAGCCGGCAATATTCTGTAACCCACTTTAGCCTCGTGAAAATTGATTTTCTGGGCTCTAGAATTGCCAGTAAAACAGAACGGGAAAAATAGAATCTGATCGTGATGGTGCAGAGTTACGGATTATTTTCGTTTACTTTATAAAAAAAAGTAGTGATAAAGGAAATGAAACACAAACACTCGATATTGATTATTGATTATCAATCGAATGAATAGAACACTGATTAAAAGCCTCACACTAAAAGCAGTGTTTTCTTAACACTTTTTCTTTTGCATTCTCGCAGACCAAACAAATGTCATCATAATAAAGCTAAAATTGAACAGATGAACAAAAACAAATCCGATTCGAAGTTAAAAAAAAATCAAGCATGAAAAGGGAACTCAAAGAAAAATGAAAGTGTTGGAAAATAAATGTGTCGCTGAGTACCGAACCGGATGATTGATGATCGGAGATCCAATCCCAGATGAAAAGCGAAAATAAATTAGATTAGATGAGGCGGTAAAAGTAGCTAAAGAGAAAATGTATTGTAACGCTTGAATTTTGAGCGAGGGCTTGTGAGCGGGAAAGAGCGTTATGTTGGGGGTTGTGGACATAATAAAGGTGAAAATTTAAATCCATGCTGACATGTCATTATCTACTAACTTATCTTAGAATCTGTTTGTTGGGTTGTAATTGGTTTTCTGGAAAATCAATTCCAGAAAATCAATTACATTGTTTGGATGCTACATTGTAAAATGTTTTACACTGTTTGATTAGTTTTTCTGAAAACAATTTACGAAATATGTTTTTTTTTTGTAAAAATGTATATATTTTTATATTTTTATTGTTATTTACATTTTAATTTTTTTAAGTTATTTTATAAAATTGTATTTTATAAAATTTTGAAATGAAATGTTTTATTTGTATAAGTACATGAAATTAAATTTGTAGAAAATATACTAATTACGTTGATTGTGTTATAAATACACAGTTTTAGATTTGAAGTATTCATTATACTTTATCTATTAGCACTTTTAAAACTAAATGTTAACTCATAATTAATATTATATGTAGGTTTAATTAATATAATTTTGATAATGTATTAAAAATATATTATCAAAGTATATAATTAAAATTACATCATTATTAAAACAAAAATAGTACATCACATTGAAATAATAATAATATTTTCAAAGTGTTTAATTAAAACTACACCACATTAAGATAACGATATTATCCAACCATAATAATACAAAGATATTATCTAATTATTAATTAGTGCTACAACACATCAAACCAACATATGATTAAAGTCTATAAACAGTACTACAACACATTAAAGTTTAAATATTGTCTAAGTCATAAATATTAGTACTCCCCAATTCTTGTGTTTGGTTCTCGTAAAAGCCTTTGGTCAATTAAAACCAATTACATTGTTGTAGTACTACTAATGACTTAGACAATATTTATGTTTGTTAGTAGTCTAATTACATATTTGAGGGTCTTTTATGGCTTATTTTGACTGGAAAGGTGACATATGGATGGTGACATAAAGCCTCATAAGCTCGTGCATTTGGGGACTACTGAATCCCAGCATGTGCGAAAAATTTCCTCCATAATCCAGCGAGTCATCCATGGGAATAAATTTTCCATCTTTATACATCCTTCAAAAATCAAAGGGAACATAATTTAAGAGACAACCTTATCAAACAAGGATTACAAGGAAATGCTGCCATAGTCAGATAGGTCACCCACACATTGATTCATAATATTGAAATAACATGCTTATTGAGGGGCCAGGCCAAAACCGAATTAAACTGAACGTCAGATCAACAGCCAATACATTGATGAAGGACCACTTTAGACTAGTATCTAATTTCGGCTAGGTATTTAGTATTGCAAATTTACGTCCAAATGTTGCAACATCTGTATATAAATTTGTTGGATGTGTTTTTAACTGAGGTTTGGATTATTGAAATTTCTAGTATTCAGATTTCCTCCCTTTGTTCTCTCAGGTTCAACTTGTTTCTCAAGTCATTCCTCTCTATTTCTTGTTATCTCCCTAAAATTCCTAGATTCAACATTTCCTGCCTCTTTCACTCTTCTTGTTCTACATCACTCGAAAGTACACAAACTTATCTACAATATTCTAGAACTCTAAAAGAAAATTTCACAAACTAAAGTCAACCAACAATTTATCTGTACACTATAGACAAGGTATCCACTAACCTTCTATAAACATAAGATGCCACCAATGGCGTGACTGTTTTTCTATCAATATCCGGTTATCAAGAAGAGAATGCCGTAATGGAATGGAATGGACGAGTCCTATTCTCATATATTTTCATCATCTTGTTCATAGTTTTTAAGTTACTGATGAATCTATCTTCTTCTATTTTCTTTGTCTTGATAATTTCTAAGAGCTGACCCAGAAAAGATTGATTTTCCTTTATTCGTTGACTGAGAGCTTCTTACTAACATCTACCTAACCACATTCACTCAGTCTATTGACTCCTGGGCTTTTGTTTTAGAGTGGACGAGAACCAGTAGATAATTCCACAACATCCACATGTTGAATGGAAAGACCTGGGCAGCTAGTGAGTGCAATGGGGAAAGTTTTCTCTACTCTTTTAATTTCAGGTTGCAAATATGATAAGGTTTCTAGTGGATAGCTACAACAAGCATGATCCAGTAATTTTATGGTCTTTTGAATTGAATAATTTATGGTAAGGGGTTTTCATCATAAAGTTTTCTTTCTTTTTCTTATTTACTTTTAAAGCTCTTAGAGTAACTCACTGCACTTCCAACAAGATAAAAGTTCTTTCACACTAATGAACAACCAGGATTTACAATCTCAAAAGCATTACAAAAAGAGCTCAGTATGAATTTCCATAACATAAAGCCTCAGAAATCAACTAAAAAGCATCCATTGTTTTTTATCAAACTTAACAAATTTGTATTATCTTTAAGCTGAAAACAAACAAAAAAACAGAAGAGAAACCGAACAAGAGAGATCCATTGAATAAAAGAAACAACCATTCTAAAATACCCATAAAAAAGCGACTTTGAACAACAATTTCTAGGAGATTCTGGGCATTTCTATAACCTAAATTCGGTAGAAAAAGCACTAGTAAACAGAGTTAAAATCCAAGTAATATGGGAATGGTGCAATGCTCGTGTTTCTCCCAATGGCGAAAGTCATGAAATGTTGACCTCGGTGGTTACCGAATCAATCACCACATACAGAGGGAAAATGGCAACGCGATTGGTACCTTTTAAAGAGATTTTCCCTTGGAAATCAAAGAGAAAAGCAAAAGGGGAGGAATAGCATTAGGGATTCGAATTATTACCTTGGAATCCTAGAGCTCCTCCCTTGATTTTGCTGGAAAAAATCTGTTGATTTTGTTGTTGGTGAGAAGAAGTTGGTGATAGTTGATCGGAGAATGAAGGAGATCAAAGGCAAAGAAAAATGGGAGGCAGTTGGTTCGTAAAATGAATTCCCCATTTTTCCATGATAAGTTGTTTTACGGGCCAAAGGAGCTTCTTTTACGTTGACCATAATGGGTTTTACATTGACCAAAGACTTTTACGGGAACCAAACACGGGAATTAGAGAAAAACCAATTTCTGTAATTGATTTTCCTGAAAACAAACATACTCTTAATTTCTTTTGGCTTAATATGTAAATAAATTATATCTTAATTTGATTTTCAATATTTAAACAATTTCTTGTTTGAAATAGGTGTCTAACATTTTTTTCTATTACATTTTTAGATATATACCACTATATTTTTTATTTTTTAAAATTAAAATATTATTTAAAAAATTAAAAATTCAAACACTCACTTCGTCCCCTCTCCCTCCCATCCACTCACCTTATACGGCGAAGGGTTACCACTGATTGGGTTTTGTTCAGAGCAAGTGATGAACTCAATGGTTGCAGTCATGTAACGCACGGATACCTGGACCCGTCGGAATGACCGAAAAATGACAAAGAAAACCTTAAAATCTAACGACTCTTCGCGGTGATTTCCACAACGATCAACATAGTTTCACAGTGGGTTGGGGACTGGGTTTTAGTGGTAGCGACAAGATGCTTCTGATGGTGTCAACGATGATAGGCATAGATCGTCGGTGGCCGATCGATAGTGGAGGAAACAAATTTTGGGTTTTAAAAAAAAATTATAATATTAAGTATGTTTTTTAAAAATAATTTATTTTTGAAACTTTATATGCGTGACACGTGTCAGACTCTAAGTTGAAAGTACTAATGTGCAATACATAAATAAAACAGAGATCAAATTAACAAAATAAACAAAACAGACAAATAATAATCCACATTTTGAGACTAAAACCAGTGATTAATTTACATATACTAAAATATATAGGGATTGAAGACACAAATAAACCGAGATTGAACAAACATTAAATAAAAAGGACTAAAATGAACTAAAAACAAATTACTAGAACAAGCCAAATACTTAACCGAAATATTAAAACATATGTACGAGGACTAAACATAAAAAATGAAAACATGAAAGGCTTGAATTCATAAATATCCCATTTTATTTCAATCCTGCATACTAGATTACAAAACTCAAGGGCCTAAAATTGCAATTTTCCCCAATAATTATGAAAACACGGGAATGGGGGTGAAATTACGTCATTTCGATTCGGTATATAAACTCGGTTATATGGCTTTTCCCTCATCCTCTCCCCATTTCTCAACTTGTTTCAGAAAACAAAGAGAAAGTTTCCTATAACTCTCTCAATCATCCTCTCGTCGGGAAATAGGGTCGTCGTTCTCCGGTGGCGGTTCACGACCGTTCACGGCGACCGGAGGAAACACAACCCCCCAAAACATCCCTCTTATCCTATCTAACCCATATACCACCCGATTTAGTCTAAAAGTCACACAAGAATCATAATTCTAGGGTTTACCTCTCGAAAAAAAAGGATCCAAAGACCTTACGGCTTCCAACACTTCGAACCGAGGTATGCTTCTCTCTTTGTTATTTTTCT